CTTGCAACACCTGCGGGATGGCTACTCTCTCTGAGAACGTGACGCAATCGTTCATAATGGAGAGCGAATGTCTTCGCTGATAGAACTGCTGCATTTCGGTAGATGAACACGAAGGTGGCAAGCTGGTTCTGTGGAAGTGTGTAACCTTCTTCAGGATTGGATCTCGAAGCGTTTCGGTCCGCACAGCTTCGGCCGTAACTGGCAGACCATGTAATGCCTCGCTCACCAGAAATTTGACATCAGGTTCGACCTCAACTGAGGCTATGATGGTATCCTAGTGTTCTTGCTGCTGGAAATCAATGAGGCGTGACAACGCATCTGCCTGGCCCATCGAAACCGTTGACTGATAACGGATTTCAAAATCAGAGCCCAGCAGTGAGAACCCATCGTTGGAGTCGATTGGCTGTATAGGCAGGAATTCCTTTCTTCGAGCCGAAAATGGCCAGCAGCGGCTTGTGATCCGTCATGAGTTTGAAGCGGCGACCATACAGCATCTTGAGAAATTTCTTCACAGCAAACACTATGCCCAATGCCTACTTCTCGATCTGACTGTAGTTTCTTTCGGCTTTCGTCAGCGTTCTGGCGACATGTGCGATCGCCTTCTGAGATCAATCTGGGAACGTATGGGAAACTATGGCACCGATCCCTGGACTTGATGCGTCTGTGGCGAAGACAATTTTTCCACACGGGTTAAAGTAAGTCACGAGTAGGTCTGAAACCAGCAAATACTTGACCTGCTGGAACGCAGTCTGGCATTCTGGCGTCTAATTTCAGGTTTGTCCCTTGCTCAGCAACTTATTCATCGGGGCACGTAGACGATGCAGTTCGGGCAGAAGAGCGCTGTAATGACTAATCAGGCCACAGAATGAACGCAGCGATTGCAAGTCGGCAGGCGGGGGCATCTTCTGAATAGCTCAGAATTTTGGATCAGGGCGATGACCGTCTTTTGCGAAAATGTAACCGAGGAACTTGATGGTTGGTGAAAAAAGGTACACTTGTCTTCACGGATACGGAAACCACATGACTGGATGCGTTCAAGCATTTCAGCGAGCCGCTCAAATAGTTCTTCTGCCGTCTGACCCATTAAAATGATGTCATCCAGGTACGCCGCGCCTCCAGAAACTCCCGCAAGCATGATGTCTATCAGCTGCTGGAAGATGGCTGGTGTTGTTTTCACTCCAAAAGGGAGGCGGTTGTAGTGGTACAAGCCACGATGAGTGTTGATGGTCAGCAATTCTCTCGAGCCTTCATCAACATCGACCTGCAGGTAGGCATCGGATAAGTCGAGCTTGGCGAAACAATTCCCACCATCCAGCATAGCAAAGAGATCCTCTGGTATCGAAAGGGGATATTGACGGGTCGTCCAGTGCGGCATTCAGGCCAGTCGAAAAATCGGCGCAGACACGCACTTCACCGTTCGGCTTTCTCACAGCAACGATTGCCGCAGCCCATGAAGAGTAGTTCACTGGTGTGCTGACACCGGCTCGCTCCAGATCAACTGCTACAATAGCTGCATACGGTACCGATCTTTTTGCTCTGAAGACTGGCTTGGTTCCTTCGCGAAGGCACAAATTTGCTTTGAACTTAGTGCAATGACCGAGGCCATCTTCAAACAAGGAGACAAATTTCTGCTTTAGCTTTCTCGTCATGTCTTCTATCGACAATGATGCATGGACTGGATCGGTTCAAAGTCTATTGCAAATCTGACTCATTGGAACATCAAACAGTTGTAACTTTTCCATCCAGTCAAGCCCAAGGAGGTTCACGTTTGGTCGGTCAGACAAGTAGCAGGTTCCGGCCTGTTCCACCGTTGAATGCAATTTTACAAGTTATTTCTCCGACCAGCTTCTGCACTCCACCGGATGCGTTGTAGGCGACTTTGTTGGAATCAACCAACTTCGGCCTCTTTATGTGCCTCCAAGTGTTCGTAGGAATGATCGTTATATATGAAGTCGTATCGAACTGCAGCCTGGTTGAAATCCAGTTGATGAGCGTAGTGATAAATCGGCGGCGTGTTCTAGAATCGCTGTGAAAAGTGGCAATCACTGATAGTGATTCTGCATCAGGCTTCTTTCTTTCCTTCGGTAAGACTGCTTCACATTTCTTGGCCGGGACTGAAGGCAAAAGTCTTCCTTGTGGCCGCGTTTATGGCACTTATCACAAATGTGACGCTTGAATGGACATTGTCTTGCGAAATGCCATTCACCACATGAGTAACAAGGTGTAGACGGCTTGTTCGGCGCTCTGTTGAACGGTCTGATCGAGTCAGTCTTTCTTGCTTTTTGCACAGCATGAACAGTATCGGCAATTATGGGGCGACTCTGCTTACCCATAGCGGTGTCGTGTTTCAAAGAGACCACCCGTTTGCATCCGCCTACAAGAGACTTAAATGTCAAATCTGGATCTTGATCCGACTTAGCAAGGAGCCCAGTGCGGATTTTCGTGTCGCATGGAGACTGTAAAGCACTGACAAATATGTGACACTTAAACTAGCCATCCGTCAAACAGCGTAGCTTGAAACGTTCACATTCACGGTTAACCATGTCTACTAGTGTCTCATAACCGTCCGTATCCCGCTTAACAATTTTTAGACATTGGTAGTGAATGCGAAACATAGACGTTGACTCAACAAAAATTGTTTTGACCATTGCAACTGCTTTGTTGAAAGTGATGTCCTTCGGCTGTTGGGGCAGGATGTAGTCGACGAATCTTGAATGTTCATTGGTACCGAGCTTGCGGAGCAAAAGACGCACTTTCCATGAATCATCGTGAGGGCTGAAATCCGTCCGGAACATGTCCTCTCAGCGTATGAACCTTGCCTCGAAATTGCATTCGGAATCAGCATCATAATGAAATTCAGTGATTAAATTCGTAAGAAGATCAAGTGAAACAGCCTGCGTGTCCCGTGCACCTGCTCCGTTTGACTGTACGTTCAAGCACCGCGTCAAACTTTTAATCAATTTCATTTGTGCCTCCAGCTGAGATCGTTGCGGAAGAAGCAGCTTTCGAAAACGTTTGGCGGAAAAGTTCGTAACATTTTCGTGCTTGTCCGTCGCCATTGTTAGATCCTTACGTATTTTCGCTATTCCGAATTAAATACGCAAAAATTTCTAGGCAAAATTTCTAGCCCAGTCGAAGAAAAATCAAAAGTTCAACGACCTTGACCGCGAGAAACGTGTTAACAAAAACGCCGCCAGAACGCTGCACAACTACGCCGGACCTAGGCCAAATATATATATATATATATATATATATATATATATGGGGCTCAATGACCTTCGGCTTCTAGGAAAGGAAGGTCAACTAGTAAAATTAGCAGCCTCCCTGCCAAAACCCCGTATTCTGACGATCACGTGAAGGAATGGAAGGTCCCGAAATCTTTGAAATCAATATACGACCGAAGATAATCGATTAATTGCTAACATAATGGGTTTCCCTTTATGTTTTGACCTTTTTCCGAATAAGTGTGATAGTATTGTACATTTCCTGATGATTTGTTGTCCTCTTACCACGGTGATGCCTGTTCAGGTGTGCCTTGCATTATCAAAAATAGGTTGCTTATTTTATTCTTTATTTCTGAACAGTATAAGTTAACGATTTATCCCAACGGAGTTGGAAAACCCAGGTGAAATGAACGTAAGCACCAAGTACACACACATCAAGCATTATGTGAAACTAGTATGGTGGAAATACCCCCGACAATAAGGGATACGTAGCCAGAAAGATAGACGATTAGTAGAGGTTGGCCAACCGGTAACTGGGAACAAGAGGCGAAGTTACAACACATTCTCCCCTTTCCCCTCGCGAATTCAGTGGAGGTGGTGCAAGGGTAGCATCAAATAGGAAGACAAATGGTATATCCACCAATCAGCGTGACAAGTTCACACTTTTCTTAGGTGCTTCAGAAAGCTATGATTGTTGAGCAGCATTCGCAGAAGATAGCAGTGCAGGGAGTGGGTACAAGGCGGGCAACGCGACACGGACGATCATGCTACAAAAGACACTAGTGAGATACTGCTGAGGGAACCAGCAGACATCATCAGTGTGCCAAGCATTCCAAGCATTTTCCAAGATGCTAATCTTTCCTGTTCATTGAAAATGATCAAGTGCATGTTGTTATCACACGGACTGTTGGTCGAACTCGTTTTTAACGAAAACCTCTGTGCTTGGTGAGAGGTCTTCATGTCGAAAAACACCCTATAACTATGAAGTGAGCGACTCACATGCGACTGAGAAAACATGAGATGCCATTCTAAGCGAAATAACTAACTGGGGATGGATGGTTAACAATATGAATGTTGCAACTCGTCAGCAGCTAACAACTTCGGGGTGTTTACTTTCGTTAGTGTGAGTCGCTCGATCGATTGCCCGGAGAGCCTCGTTCAAAAGAGTCAGATGCACGTAGAGCTTGTCTCTCAAGAAACTTAATTAACCAACTGTAGCATTTCTGAAAGACAATTGCTTGGAAGTGTAGAAGCGTTAGGAGTAGGGTGAGGGAGAAGGCAGTCAGATTAACGACAGCGATATGATGGGTCAATGAATGCGACAACCCAGACATTTCATAGGACCATTTGATAATGTGGTACTCAACGCAACTTACTGAAGTGCAGCGGTATCGGCCAGCAACCCTGCCAAGCAGGTAAACATTCATAACATAGTGCAGCATGAGATTTAGCTTTGGTGGTATTCGAACATGCCAATGGATTAGTGGAAGTATAGTAAAGACAATTCCGAGGATCAATTCACAGAGGTTAAATTAAAGAAATAAAAGTAGCAATAGAAAGGAAAGCGATCGGTGGCGGCGATATTTATGGTGGAACAGTGCGTCGAAGCACACTGGTATCACAATAAATAAAACGCAACCACTGTTTAATGAAATGAGCGGCAAGTTAATTTCTTGAAAGACAAGCGAACGCAGCTTATACAGACGGAGACTGTCAAGCTATGTAAAACACGCTAAATGAATTATAAAAAATACACTAAAATTTTTAACAACTTACTAATTTTTCCCCGGGATCAACCCTTGGTGTTCGCTGCACGTGAGGTTGCGCACCCTGGTTTAAAGATGGAAAATTTGACGCTGAAATGGACGAAACGGCACAGCTAGCATACGGCGGTACAATTTCGTCGTCCCCAAGTGAACTGAAGTTGTAAGTCGTAAGAAAACCAGCAGGGACATTGTTTGCAGTCGGCTCAACCACCAGGCCTGAGATGTAAGAGCACGAAATGGCGCCCGGTGTGTGAGATGGAGCGACAGGATAAGGGATAGCGATGGAGTCCGGAAGCCTCAGTTTGGTTGACTGGTGAGGATCAATATCGGAGGCAAGGTGGGAAGTAATAAACTCGTCACGGGGAGATGGACTACTGACAGCGATAGCATCCGGAAATCCATTCGAGGTGAGTGAAGAGGCACTGTTAGCATACACCTCAGTGTCATACCGTATTGCGCGGCCGGCATCCTTTAAATGTTCTCGAGTTGTTAGTAAGTGCTCTGATAACGGATCATTCTTGGCAACTGAACCACCCGAGGAATTGCATTTAAGAAAGACAGGATATTTCTTACACTCTTCAGGAGAACCAGCAGTATTAAATGATTCTGTTGAAAAATAGAGCTGTTGATTGCAAACATGCTGTAAGTGACGGTCCGCTACAAACTGACTAGTAGGAGCAGCCCCTAAGGATGAGCGATGCAAATACTCGGTGACTAAATGCTGTGCACATAAATCGGCTGAGCGCTTTCTTGCAAACCTTGGCCGATGTACACACAGTGGATAACTGAATGAAGGCCAATACCATTCACTGTCAACATATGTATTATGTTTCTCTTGAGTTTGGCGTTTTGACAGGCCAATTCGGTTACACACGGTTATGAAGAGGCCAACAATGAACCAAAATAAGAGCGTAACTATGATGACACCGTAAGCCCAGGGTGGAAATTCGGCTGACACATGTCTTGTGATACCAGCTGTGTGGGACTTGCTCTCGTGTACGTCTCGTAGGAAGTAGGCTGCAGGGGGCAGCCGATAGCCAGGTCCACGAACCCCTTCACCTCGGCAAGTGACTCCAGATAAGTAGATCAAGTACTCAACGTGAGGGTTAATTCCGAACACATCCTTGCTGTGAACATCAGGAGGAACCTGAAATGTGAGGACGAGGATGCGTCAATTATGATGGGTTGAACCACAGTTGAAGCATGAGAAACATAACGACTTAAGGGACTAACTGTAATGAAATTTCTCCATAACAAACAGCAGTGTAGTTACAAATCACGTATTCATGAGAACAATCGATTAATTCCGACATGGCACAAACTTGACGGGTCGTGTTGATTAGACGGGAAAAGGAGAAATGAAGTTTAGTTACTAATGAAGTGCAAACTGTAAAAAAACGACCTAGACCAGTGATTTTGAGACAGATAACTTGACAATAGTCAAGGAAAGAAAATGTCCTGTACGAGCGCGCTGTAATAGCACAAAATTATACTCCTCCACATTCCCGAAAAGGGAGATAACAAAAGGAACACCTACAGTGGTTGCCTACAAAAGATATGTGAAGTTCAATAAGCATTAAATAATTAATCACAAGAACACGGATAAATGTATATGTATACGCGCTTTTTCACAGCCACATAATAATGCATGTGAGGCTTACCTTCAGCGATCTACTCTGGTAAGATTCGTTGGTTATGAGATGAATCATATACCCGATGAGTGCGCCGTGTGCCATCCTAAGTCCCAAAGGTTTCCATTTCAGGCGAACACTATTTAAAGTTGGTAGTGATTGGTTGACGCTGTCCTTTGGTGCGGCAAGCAGCCATTCGGCAGCGACAAGTGGTGGGGCATAAGTGGGGGAGGAATCAAGAGTCAGAGCCAACTCTGGACGACTGGAAGGACTCCATATACGACCGTAAGTGCTGTCATCCATGAAGGCTTCGATAACAACTTCATAACACGTGAACGGCATCAAACCACTGCCTACAGCTTTGGCCACGGGGCTGGTGGCTGAAACCGTTCGCCACAAAAAGATAGTCTGCTCTACTGGATCACCAGCGAGAGGTTGATCACTTGCAATCGCATCTGTTGGGTCATGGGCCGCAAGATCAGTGGACATGCGTAGAATTTGTTCTAGAAAAACATCCGTAGATAGACTGCAGTGAATTGGAGGGGCAGATGACTTTTGTTTCAAATCGGCGTTGGGCATAAATGAGAGATCCTTAGGACTGATGAATGGGAAAGAACGCAAGTGGCTGATTGTGGATGATGAGGCAGTAACAAGGCACCGAGACATGGGGACTGGTTTGATGTTTATCTTAAAACCGTTTATTAGTCGTAGCACGTTCATTGTGGAATGTGTCACCCAAGTCATTAGAAGCTCGTTGGGCGTCAGACTCCTGAGGTTAAGCTCGCTGAAACTGACAGATTGAAAACCAGAGGTGAGTTGTTGAAAGTCGCTACTTGCACTGAATCCTATAAGTATGGAGTTGTAGCCCGATTGTAAGCTGTTAGACCCACTGGAATTTATCATTATACCACCGGTGAAACGCTGTGATGTTCGATTCAATGTGTAGACTATTCTGGGAAAGCAGAAACCAGGACTCAGGCCGAACAGATTTGCTTTCCTAACTTCAATCCAATATCCCATACCCGGCAGTAAACCGACTAGTCTGGCATGTCTATGTCTCACTGTGCTCGTGGTAGAAGACCAAACGTCCAAAACTGGTGTCGAGTTCAAGCTAGTTTGCCGAACAAATGCGGAGAACAGAAAGTCTCTATATGCAGCAGAAAAGCGCGGGCTTTCAGGAGCAACGGTAACAGGCAAATAGAAGACTTTATAGCTGATAAAATGCGATCCATCGTCGACATCATCCCATTGAACGGAAAGCCAATCATCACCAACATTTGTAATAGTTAAATTTGTTGGGGGTTTAGGAAGCTGCGCTACATCAAATTCTTGCATGGGCAATGAAGGAGGAAAGCGACCGATCAACAACTCCGTAGTCCACGTGGAATAGCGCCGACTGATATGGTTAAAAATAAAACAAGTGTAGTTTCCTTCATCGTAGTTTTGGACATCTCTGATCAGTAAAGAGCCGCTCTGCTCAACAACAGCCCTATTAGTATTTCCAAATCTTGAAAAAAGTGAGCCACCTTCAACCAGCCAAAAAAGAGTGAGATTACTGCGCGAGACACTGAACTGTCGCAAAGATACAGAACTCAGAATGTGAGATTCAAATTGAAAAACCGGGAATTCGCAGATAATCCGCACATTAGTGGTGGTTTTTGATAGTCGCAAGCTTAAACGACGAGAGGACAGTGCGCCAAACCTGGCTGGCTCGAGAATTTGGTTACTTTTTACATCAATATAGGTGAGACTCCGAGCGACTCCAACTGAAGAAGATGCGCGGCATTCATAGTGAGAGGCATCATCTCGCCGTACGGAAGAAATGGTAAGAGACCCATTAAAAGTCACAGAAATTCGCCCAGCGGGGTCGGACTCAGCAAGATAATACACGAGCGGTTTGAGTCGAATCCATCTCACGTCCGGACTGGGTGAGCCAACTGCAGCACACGGGAGAACAACCCTTTCTCCTTCTAGGACAGACACAGAGCTCGGTGGCGTCAGTATGAGACTGGGTGGGTATACAACGTTAATGTGGGCCATTGATTCAATTATGCCAGCTTGGCTGACCGCCCGACAGATGTAGTCTCCGGCATCTTGCAGTCTAACTTGAATAAACCGAAGTGCACCAGTTGGAAGCAACTGTGTACGTTCGAAAGGTACTCCCAAGAAGGCAGGTTCCCTGCGCCATAGAATAACCGGAGGGGGGTCTCCGGCAGCCCGGCAAGACAATTCAAAAGAGCTGTGCACCGTAACAGACTGGCTCAAAGGTGATTCCAAGAAGTAGGGACGATGACGGACGTTTAAAACAGCCCCCAAACTCTGGCGGCGGAATGCGAAGGATTCTGCAATGCAAGTGTAAATACCACGGTCTTCCCACTGAACTCTGTTAATACGCAAATTACCGTTCTCTGAAATATGTGTCCTCTCATCCGGAGAAACAGTTAGATTGTTCTTAGTCCAATGTACTGTTGGTTTCGGCATACCAGTTGGGGGTAGACATTCCAAGAGAACAGTTTCACCCAAGCTCACAATTTTGTCTTGCGGTTCCAATAAAAACTGTTCATTCAAGAAAGCAATTTTGACATTAGCTTCTTTCGAAGCCACCCAGTATTTCGAAGTAGAAACGTTGAAATAGTACCTCCCTTCAGTACGTCGAAGAAGAGGAAAGTTAAGTGAGTGAACGACAACTCCATCCGGTAGAAACTCTGAGGTGTTCTGATAGTGGACGGCGTTGGCTTTGATTGGGGATCCATTGTAGTACCAGTGCGCGGAGAAATTTTCTTGTTTGTTGGAATACGTAAAACGACAGATAAGTGCAACATTCTGATTTTCAAGGCCGAAAGTATTCAGTGGATCGGAAACAATAACGAGCCGCGAGGTGAGTTGATGGAAAAGAGAAGTGAAGATGAATACAACAAATAGCATCACACGAACGCGTAGTTGGGTGCTGCAATCGTTAATGTTTGGGGTTCGACAGTCGACGGCGAAATGTAGAATGCTGAAAATAAAAACATCGATATAGAGGTGGATGTTGAAAACGCTTTGAATCAATAAGAGCAATACAAGAACTAGAAAGCAAACACGCGCCAACTGATTTCCAAATGATTCCGTAACAAAACAAGAGGCACAAACAGTAGTTCGGAATTCAGGTTATGGGATCACGCCAGATATTATAAGGATAGTGGCTACTGAGGTCAGGATTTCAACTATCGGGCATCACAAAGCAGCCGAGTGAAACGAGCACTAAGATTCAAGATGGCTGTAACGAAGTGAAAACCCCGTGGAAGTTCTCAGTTAAATGAGACTTTGAATCCGCATTCGGCCAGACACGTCGCAGTGTTGATAAAGCTCATTTCAGACAAGCACATTCCAACCAAAATGGTTCATCAGAGCATGTATCTTACACAAGCAGTTTATGGAATATCAGCCAATTGGGATCATAAAGGGATAAAGTGCATAGTAGCTTAGGGGCAAAATAAGGGACACTCGGTGTAATAAGCATAGTGCGCTAAAAGCTGCGTAGGTAACGGAAAAAACGTAATGTAAAGGCTAATAAGGGAAGGCGAAGAGAATGGGCCGGAATACGACACGATAAAGCTTAAAATCTATAAATCTAGATGCTTTGGAATCAAACTAGATTAGTTATTGGCTAAGCAGAAACGCGTATCCGTGCCATCTAAAGACCAAATACAACAAGGGCTGTGGAAATGAAAGTCGACGAGAGGGGGCCATATTTAACGCTAAGGGAAAGTGTATAAAAGGTACATCCACGAAGCAGACCTTGTTAGCGGGAACGATCCAGCATTCATGAGCAACTGACAAATTGGTCAGGTGGTAATAACCCATACAAAAGTCTTTTGAAAGGGACTGTGCAGATAAAAACTTTTATAAAAAAATAGATTCATTCGCTCGAAAAGCCAGGGAAACATGGGGTTGTCTCAGCCAATTGCGATAACTCGATCGCGACTGAAATGTTCAAGTAAGGTGGCTAGAAAGTTTGTGCTAACTAAAGATCATAAACTCCAACAAAAACAATGACAAGAACAACAACTGCTATAGCAACACATCAGTAGTTTGAACCGATGGCTCGCTGTAGGAAAACCCCGATGACCTAGGTAGGAAACAATACGAGAGAAGGGGACCTTGTGTAAAACCCCAACCTTCTAAGCAGAAGTGGGGAGTCAATGTACATGCACCTTGTCAAGAAATACCGTCACAAACGGCAGGATATCGTGCGAAGGTAAAGCGGCATCGGTGAGTCAGCTTCCCCAAGCCCTATTCGGCCATAAGGCCGCCAATGAATCAGTAGCAAATGCAAAGTAAACAGATAATCCGACTAGGATACCACGACAATATCCTCACTTGTGCGACTGCTGGTTATGTCCTATCCTGGGTCGTGTGGACTCCAGTTTGGAAGGTGAGACAGACCAATATCGCGCAGTATAATCTGCAGACTTCATCTCCAACTACCAACACAACTTTTGCATGTCATGGTACAGCCTTAACACCGGGAGTGACAGCAACAAGATACGAGTTCTTAATGAGGGCGATGTTCTGTTTGACGGGCAAAAATCAAAACCAGAATTTCTCACTAAATAGCAAGCATCCGCTATTTGTTTGCTATGGATAGCCTGACGCGTGTTGCTGAACGCGTTGATCTGTGTTTTGCAACGTAAAAGGGCAGAGTGTCGCTACAGAACACGGGTCGGCATATATCTAGTGTCCGTTATCGCCGAACATCCGTTCGAAATCGCCGATGTAACGAAGAGAAAGCTTACAGACAGCGATCAAACCGAGAGCAGTGGCGCAAAAGTGGATCGGTCCACAATTGAAGATCGAACTCAAGTAGAAATCAAAACGTGAATCTAGGTGGGATTAGCGGCAAATTGAACCATGAACTTGAACCGTTTGGGTTGTGTTAATTAATATCAATTAGCATCTCCAATATTGTTGCGTCGGCTGCGTTCAAACTACTTATTGCGCTATGCTCTCATACAATAAGAATCCGAATCCCTCGGTCCGGCTGGTCTTGGCGTTCTCATTTCGTTGCGGGTTGAATTGGTTGGGGGCGGTACAACTGCATCAGGCAGGTTACCCGTAAAAGTCAGCGGAAAGCACCACAGATTTCTGGCGACGGTCAGCTGCGCGTTAGCAGCAGGTTAGCCGTACATTCAGCGGCAACCACAATAGCCGAGCAATTTGCTTATCTGGGTAGCTGTATCATTTCGGACGATAATATCATTCGAAGAGGTCACCATATGCCCTTCAAAGCCTCGATGGCCTGAAGAGAGCAAGATTTGATTTTGTTAATTAATGGAGAAGTTGACAACGCCGTAGTGCGGCCAGTGATGTTGGATGTACTACAGACCTGGTTGCAGCATGCTGCGGAGGTAAAGCGATTAGGCTTGATCATCGCTTCACGCTAACCTTTCATATCTGGTGGGAGAATCGAGTGAGGGACACTGAAATTCATCAACCGTAGGAATGTAAGGGCGTTAGCTTTTTTCTGATGAATTATTACCGCTTGCGAATGACGAATGTCAGGGAGAAAGTAAAATCGCCTAATAAGAATCACTGCTTCAATGGAGAAAAGATGTGGGCCCGTGATGCACAGCGGAGACCACAAGTCGCTTCTGGAACATGCGATTCCACCAGATGACGCGCAACCAAATTCCCCATTGACAAGCGCAACTGAATGACCAATAAGAGTGGCCGAAAAAACGCGAACGTTGCAGCGTAGACCTATGAATGTTAGATATTTTCTCACTAGTTGTACCCGTTTCCGTTGCCTGGACATCGGTTTATCGACAGGGCAGGACTGACGCTTAGCGTTTGCGTGAGTTGAAGCTAGAAAAAAAGGATTACTGAACCAAGCTTGAGAAGGGCCAAGAATTGCGGGGTTGAAAACGGGACGGTTAGGGTGAAAAGGCGTTAGGAGAGGAAGTAGAAGACTTGAACGGTAGCATGCAAACCCCTATCCGCCTCGCTCGGTACAGCAAATAGGGCGCCGTTAATTGTCATCTGTGACGGCCAAGGTATCAACAAATTAGAAAGGTGTGGTAAATGGAGTTGAATAGTGTATATTCGTTTGGAGAGAAATTCATGGTATGACGTGTGCGAAATACTGTCAGGTTGCCAAGGCTTGGATAGAACGATTAGGGTTCTGAACCAAAGCCTTTGGTTCAAAAACCTGACCGCATGGCAGCGGGATTTTGACACAGGATTATAGAGAGTCAGTTTGTTTGTGAAGTAAGGAACCATCTTCACTCCAAACCCAAGCCTGGAGGGCCAGGAGACTGAGTTTGTCTGGCCTCTAACCATTGACCGATCTGGTATGAATGGCTCTGAAAGTGCAAAATGTATCACCCAGCATAGCTCAATAGGTCGTTGGGGAACAAAAACCATCCTACCACGGCAGGGTATAGACGAGGTCATTAGTTGTAGTGCAACTGATCGGTCACCATAAATCGAGGTTGGGCTCGGTTTTTGGAAAAGCCAAGGAAGACAAATAAATGGGCGAGCCGTACCTTTATTGTCGAAACATGAAATCTCACTAACTAAAAGACACCTTACAAAGGTTCTAGCTAGGGGGTGAAGTGTGATCGGCATCGCAAACGTGGCGAGCACTCTTCGGGGCGTTCTTTTGAGTGTTCCGTTCCATTGTGGTATTACTAATGAAGAAAATCGATTGGAAACCGTCTCTTTGGAAAGTTACTCGGTTAATATCTGAACTTCAAGTTCAAGTGGGACTGGAAGAGTAGGATAAATTCCCGTGAACGTTCTTTCCGTGGCGTGTCGTTGATCCAGGGTCTTATTCGTCCGCGATAACTGGAATCTGGAAAAGTCAGGTCAGCACGCGCGAATCACACCACGGTCAACCAATTAATACCCAGGCGACCCGCATAGGCAGTCCCCGCCGCACCGGTCACGTGAAATAAGAAACAGAAATACGAAAGTAATAAGAGCGTTAAGAATCAAAAAGTAATAGTTTTAATAATTCAATAAGGCGAATAACCTAAGATGTGAACGGGAAAGTCAAGAACTGAAGGCTAAGAACGTCAAGTCGGTGTTCGAACTTTCACCGTTGGTGCCGATACCACGTTTTTGAGCAGTGTATTCCAGGAATCCACCGCTCGACGTGATAAACGTAAGTCCGCTTGGACTCCTTCCGATCGAGGTTAGTGTAGCTTCATCGAGAGAGAGATGGAAGCCGAGCCGGTTGGGAAAGCCCAGATAAATCGGGCCCGAGTTTACCGGTAAGTATGCGATAGGTCAAGATCAGGTCGCCTCGATGGCGACGATACTGCATTGAGAACATTCCCAGCTCAAGTAGTGTTTCTGGTTCTAATTCTCAACACTCTCCACTGACATCCTGTCCCTGACTAAGCAAGGTGGACAAGCCTGGATAAAGTATTCCAAGTGTGGTCCGAGAAAGGCTGAGAATAACCTAACAGATCCCCCGTGACGGTCCCGAATGCCCTGCGGATCATCCACAACATTCTGAAATCCTTGCACATAGCTTTCCTCCAGTTCTCAGTGGATTTCAATTCTGAAGACAACGTGACCCCTAGGTCTAGCAGTTGGGAAACATGCTGTAGTTCATTCCCGTCAGGCAGGTAACGCGTTTGGGGAACATTTGGCCCTAATCGTAAAATGGAACACTGGGCATAATTTATGGGCAACTGCCACAGAGCAGCCCAGTCCCAGAGTTTAACGAGGGCCCGTTGAAAGGTGTGGAGTCCATCGAGGTCGGACACTGTGTGCCAAAAGTTAAGGCCATCTGCAAACATGAGAGATGGTACATTCAGCAGTTCGGGCAGCACATTGACATACAGAAAATAATAATGAGCCAAGCACCGAACCCTGAGGGACTTTACTGTGGACTGACTGACGGAAAGACAGACTAGACCCCACACGAACACACA